AGACAGAGTCTCACTTTGTCGCCCTAGGTAGAGAGCTGAGCAGTCACAGCTCACAGCAACCTCAGACTCTTGGGCTCAAGCAATTCTCTTGCCACAGCCCCCCAAGTAGCTGGGACTATAGGTGCCCTCCACAATGCCCGACTGTTTTTAGAGATGAGGTCTCATTCTTTTTTTTTTTTTTAATTAAATCATAACTGTGTACATTAATGCATTTATGGGGTACAATGTGCTGATTTTCGGGGTCCTGCTCTTGTTCAGGCTGGCCTTGAACTCGTGAGCTTAAGCAATCTACCCTCCTCAGCCTCCAAGAGCACTGGGATTACAGGCGTGAGCCACTGTGCCCAGCCCCATGTATCTTTCTATTGGTCTTCTTATTGCCAAATTAAGTATAGGGAAAATGGCTAAGTAGATTTTCATTAAACTTGGAGGACTCTTAAAACTGTCACCCTTAAAACTTGGGCCATATGGAACACTCAAAATTCTCCTTTGGAAGACTCTAGGGGCTCCTCAAAGAGGTGGGTGGGAAAACTGAGCATATACTGGACACAACAGGAAGACCTCATGACAGTTTGAGCGAAACTTATTCTACCTATTGAGACACCGCTAAGAGGACACAAAGAGCAATCAAACACAAGGCCCTGAGAATCCCCAGATGGAAGGGAAGGACAGCTGGCCCTGGAGCGGCTGGCACTGCTTTGCTACAGAGCAAGTCTCTGGGTGCAACTCTGCACACTGCACCACTGAGGGGCCAAGGGAGGTATTTATTTAATGATAGTTACAAAGTCTCTTGAGCAATGATGAGGAAATCAAGTCTGCTTTTCTAGAGAACACACTTATAAGGATGTTTATTTCCCCCCAGAAGTGGTCCCTGGGGTTCTACATACCCACAGAGGTGTTCCCCATAACAACAGGGGCCTGGGGATACTTGAATTTAGCTTCCAGAAGTTCCTTCAGGGTTACTGGAGAAATCCATGTCATTCTGTCACCACGGAAAACCCGGGTGCTTTGTGGTTGATTCTCAGCCATTATCTATGGAAAAGGCAACAGGGACTCAGGATGCCTGGCGGTAACATTCCCGCCTGTTCCTGCTCTATCATTGTAGGAACAGAGAGAGCAAACCAATTCACAGCTTCTAGAAAACAAAAGTGACCCCCAAATGGAGCTTTCCAAGAAACCAGAGTTCAGGATGAAAGTGTGATGGTATTTTACTCCTAGAGACCACTCCATATATTTCCCTTTGGTGCTCTTATGTCTCCAAGGAATTCTTTTCTTTTTTTTTTGCAGTTTTTGGCTGGGGCTGGGCTTGAACCCACCACCTCCAGCATATGAAGCTGGCACCCTACTCCTTTGAGCCACAGGCACTGCCCTCCAAGGAATTCATTTTAATGCTAAAAAATATAGCCTGTTTAATTTTGTCAAATCATTCTAAGGAAGAAAAAACTTTGCCAAACATAAAGTAGAAAAAATGTCTACATCTACACACATGGTTTTATGGCTTTATAGATACTATCTGCTGCTTCTCATGGTCAGCCCATGTGTCCCCTCCGTGGGGACTCCACCTCATTCCTCCACCTCCTCCTCAGTCCATACTCTTCAGACCTTGAGAGAAGGATGACAGACTTCTGAGAATCCAGAAGCAAATGCCCTTCCTGACATTTCACCACCAGTCCTCTCGGATGAGCTCGACGTTGCCATCCTTACCATGAGCTCAGGAGGAAATATCAGCTCCTGGGTTGGATCCAGCGGCAGGAACTCCTCTTCTGAGAATAGTTTTGGACTTGTCTTAAAAAGAGAAGGTACCAGAAGTTATTGCCATCAAGAAACTTTCCTTTGAAATCCCCCGTGGAATGAGGTTGGAAGGAGACAGACATATAGTCAGATACAGCAAACAGGAAATGAAAAAAGCCAGCGGCCCAGGAATGATCTCTGTGCTGCAGACTAAGAGCTCTAACACAGACTTGGTCCCAGCATCTCCGCTCAGAGGCCGATGAGCTCTGGAGCCCTCAGTGCCTGCACATTCTCTCTGGAGTCTGGGGACAGCAGAGGAGGCAGCAGGACAGTCCCCTGAACCACTCCCAGCATGATTGCTCCACCTGTTCTTTGATTTCCCTGACATCTCCACTTTCCATCTCCCTCGAAAAATGCTTTTTTAAAAACTAAGACACACTATGGAGGCCAGGCACAGTGACTCATGCCTGTAATTCTCACATTCTGGGAGCCAAGGAGGGAGGATCACTTGAGGCCAAGAGTTAGAGACCAGCCTAAGCAAGAGTGAGACCCCATCTCTACTAAAAATAGAAAAATTACCCAGGCCTGGCAGTGTCCACCTGCAGTCCCAGCTACTCAGGAGGATGAGGTTGATCTGAGCTATGATGTTACCATTTTACTTTTTTTGAGACTTCATCTTGAAGACAACAATAAAGAAGAAACTAAGAGATACTATGGGATCCGTGTGTTTTCTCTCCTATAGATGTTCTATTTCAGTGGTTCTCAGCCTGTGGGTTGTGACCCCTTTTGCAGGGGTCACCTAAGACCATCTTGCATATCAGATATTTGCATTCATTACAATTCATAACAGTAGCAAAATTACAATTATGAAGTAGCAACAAAAATGATTTTATGGTTGGGGGTCACCACAACATGAGGAACTGTATTAAAGGGTAGTGGCATCAGGAAAGTTGAGAACCACTGTTCTATTTAAAGAGAATAATATCTGGAATGAGAGACAAAGTTGGTAGAATCAAATTTTTTTATAGAGATAGAGTGAGAATGGGAGAAGGGACACGCTGACACATCTTGAATTAGTCAACCTGTGGGTAGCCATTTATTCTTCATAAGAGTAAGTCAGCTGCCGCTCACATCCTAAGAAAACTTAATAAAAACTGTACATTTCACTGACCTTATTTTCTTCCTTATATTCTGGTAATCCATTTATTCCTTGATCCAAAGAGCAAATCCCATTTTCTTTACTTTGACAGCAGCCAGAAGACTAGTGGGCAAAAAAAACAAATCACTAGGAATTTGTTGCTGATTCTACTAAGTAGTAAATAAAGCAGGTGACTACCAGTTGAAACATAACACAAAATCAATACGTATTGTTAGATACCTGGAAAGAGAGCTGTTTGTCCTTAAACATATCCAAACTAATTCTAATAAAAATCTTGAGTTTATAGGAAGTTTTGAAGAGCAGTGATTATTAAAACAAGTTAAAATACATAAAGATCTTATAACTGAGCCTGGCACATAGCAATAAATATTAAATATTGCCAATGATTGTCAATATTCATTTTAAGTTTCGAATATTAACAAAAAATACTAATGAGTACTGTTATCATCATTGTTTTTTTTTTAATTCTTTGGGGTTCATTGAGGGTACTGAATGCATTGATTGCATTTGTTAGATAAATTCCCTCTAATAATTGTGTCCCTCCTCCAAGAGGTGTGCCATATACCATGACCCCTATCCCCCACCTTATATTAGATCATGGAATACTATCCAGCCATTTAAAAGATGACTTTACAAAAGATGTAAAAGATGTAAAACTTTATATCTTTTGTATTAACATTTTTTTTTTTTTTTTTTTTTGAGACAGAGCCTCAAGCTGTCCCCCTGAGTAGAGTGCCATGGCATCACGCTCACAGCAACCTCCAACTCCTGGGCTCAAGCGATTCTCCTGCCTCTGCCTCCCAAGTAGCTGGGACCACAGGCGCCCGCCACAACGCCCGGCCATTTTTTGATTGCAGCCGTCATTGTTGTTTGGCGGGTCCGGGCTGGGGATTCGAACCCGCCACCTTAGGTGTACATGGCTGGCGCCCTAGCCGGTTGAGCCATAGGCGCCGAGCCCTTTTGTATTAACATTAAAAAGACTTTATATCTTTTGTATTAACCTGGATTGAGTTGGAAAACATTCTTCTTAGTAAAGCATCACAAGACTGGAGAAGCAAGAATCCAAAATACACAATTCTAATATGAAGGCAGTAAATGATCCCATGTATCACTGTGTCCTTATCTGTGATGTACCCATTTCATAGTTTAACTCCCAAAGGACACTCTTATGTCCTTCACATCAACATTGTTTCTTTATTTATCCATTCAATAAATATCGATTGAGTAGCTACCCAATCAGTGCACTGTGACTGGCCCTGGGAATGTACACCTCTGCTGTCCAGCAGCCTACAGTCTCGTGATGAGATGGAATAGCACACAGGCAATTGTACTGCATTAGGCGTGTGTGCACATGCCCACCACACAGGTCCAGGGGGGCTATAGGAGGACCAGTGCAAGGGACCTGGCCCAAACAAGATCAGAGAAGACCTCTTGGAGGCAATGAGGTCAAAATGCTCCAGTGCTCATTGTGTAACCAAGGTGAGCTCAGTGAATGCAGGTGAGTGCCCTGGCCAAGATCAAATAAAACAGCAGTTACAGACCTTGAGGTAGGAAGTAGACCCATACTCGTAACAAAGGCTGTCCTCCTAATCACACCTGACAACCCCTACCATTTTGTGTCACTGGGCAAAAATATACTTGACCATGTGTTCCTTTTTACTCACTTTACAGAAAGTCTTGCAGGCATCAATTATGGGCCTGTAGCCAGTGCACCGGCACAGGTTACCTAAAGGAGAGTAAACAAGGTCTGTTAATCTAGTGACCCTAGATGGAAATAAGGACCCCATCCTAGAAGAAAACTCTGATATTTCAGTCCACCTAATCTGCCAAATCAGCTTTTCTTTTTATTATCAGCAACTTGGGATAATTACTTGATAATCTTGAGGCAGATTTTAATGGCTCAGTCATTTGTACTTTTCTGTAAACAGTTTTTATGTCCTCTGCTTACAAAGGTGCACAATGATTTCAAGCCAAACACTTGATCTACAGTCATTTTCAAGAGCTAAACCTCACTTTATAAAAAGCAAGAGCCACTTAATTGAGGTATTATTGACATATGAAAAGCTGGACATATTTAATGTATCCAACTTGATGTGTTTGGAGATAAGCATATACCCTTGAAACCATCACCATGGTCATTGCCATAAACATACCTATCACCTCCAAGTTCCCTCCGGGCATTTATTTATTCATTTTTTTAGAGATAAGAATGTTTAATATAAGAGCTACACTCTTAGCAATACAGTATTGTTATGCATAGGCATTATGCTGTAAGGTAGGTCTCTAGGCTTTATTCATCCCGCATAAGTGAAATTTAGTGCCCTTTGACCAATACAATTGTCCCTTGGTATACGTGGAGGATTGGTTCCAGGACCACCCACATAAAACCAAATCCATGCATATCAAGTCCAGCAGTAGGGCCCTGTAGAACCTGCACTTACATGAAAAGTTGGTCTTCCATAAATACAGCTACTATAATTTTATTCTGCTTTTGGTTGGAAAAAAGCTCTGTATAATTGGACCTTCACAGTTTGGACACATGTTGTTCAAGGGTCACCTGTACTTCCTTGTTTTCCCTCCCCTAGACCCTGTAGCCATCATTCTACTCTCTGCTTCTGTGAGTTTGACTGTTTTAGATTTTTTTTTTTTTTTTTTTTGCAGTTTTTGGCCGGGTCCGGGTTTGAACCCGCCACCTCTGGTATATGGGGCTGGCTGCCCTACTCTTTTGAGCCACAGGTGCCACCCTGTTTTAGATTCTTCACGTAAGCGGGATCATGTGATATTTGCTCTTCTATGTCTGGCTTATTTCACTTAACATAATATCCTCCAGGCTAATATATATTGCTCAAATGGCAGGATTTCCTTCTTTTTCTTAAAGGTAAAAAAGTCCTCATTATTAATGCTGTGGTACTTATCAATTTATTGCAAAAGAGAGAGGGAGCGAGCACTAAGCTTCAGTTGACAGAAAGATCAAAGTCAAAAATAAAAAGAAGTTCAAAGGCATTCGACAGCAGCAAAGGTGGCTATCAAACTTTGGAAGCAGTCAGGCACACAGTTTATTTACAATATGAAATTAAATAAGTCAAACTTAAAGCTGCTGGAACTTTAAATTATTTTGAGGCTTGAGAGGAATATAACTATGGCTGAAGTCATACAGCAGGCAGTTGCAGCTTCTGCTTTCTCTGTAAATGATTAGAAATAACCGAATGGCAGCAGAGATAAGACCCCTTCCGATCCATACTCCTCCTCACAGAATGTTAAAGCAATCTTCCTTGAATGTAGCAAGCTGTGGTCGATCAAATCGCTGTAACGTATGGACTGGCCTAATGCAGAAAATTTTCAACCCTGTTAAATTTCTCTTTTTCTGCTTATACACTTGCAACCTTAACTTCCTACTCCTTTGGAGTCTGTCTTTCCCAGTTTGTCATCCACAAACTGCATGCTTGAATAAACTTGATACTTAATCATATTTTCTGACGCTCATTGCTTAAGGTCAACAACGATTAGTCCAGTGTTTCTCACAGAGGTCCTGTGTTCTTCACCTATCCCCAAATCTGAGGTCTTATTTACAAAACAAGGTCACTTAGTCAAGCTCTCTGAGGGTGTGTCCTAGGAATCTTCATTATTCATAAATTCCCCACGTATGTCCTGCATACCCTAAACTTGCGGACCCTGCATAACAACACCTAAAGGCAATCAGGCAGAAGACGGTTCTGTGCTATGTCACTCCTTTCTACTTCCGGGGCTTGGCTCTCCCTGGAACACTGTTGCAGAGGAAGTGTATAAAGAGCTTTAGGCTGGCGATCTCTAGGAAAGAAATGAGGTCCTCAGGAGGCAGGAGGCAAAAACAAACAGAAAGAGCCACAGAAAGTTTCAGCAGAAACAGAACGTCATAGGCTATCATGTTCAAAAATTGCTTAGGCCTTTGGCTCAGTGAGTAGGGTGCCGGCCCCATGCCCCTGCCAAACTGCAACAACAACAACAAAATAGCTGGGCATTATGGTGGGTGCCTGTAGTCCCACCCAGCTCCTCGAGAGGCTGAGGCAAGAGAATCGCTTAAGCCCAACAGGTGGAGGTTGCTGTGAGCTCTGACACCACAGCGCTCTACCATGGGCAATAAAGTGAGACTCTGTCTCTAAAAATAAATAAATAAATAATTGCTTAGACTCCTGTGATGAGGACCCCTTCCCAACACACACATACACACACTGAGCTCCTGAACTTGATAAAGTGGCTCCAGAGTAGATAGAGACAGCTCTTTGGAACAAGTATCAACACATGATCTCAGTCTCTTTGGCGTCACGTTATCCTCAGCAGCAGCCCTCTGCTCCTCAATACGGTCCTGAGAGCACCCATGCGACAGGGGAGCATGGTGACAAAGCAGTGTGCGGAGATAACAGGACTCTTTCCAAGCATAAATGAATAAACTGACTTTTTAAAGAAAACAAGCAAGCAACAAAAAAAAGAAGAGACACAGATTAAAAGAGACTTCATGAATATAGCAGCCAAATGCAATGTGTGGGTCTGGTTTGGATCCTGATTTGAACAAACCAACCCTTCCATTCATTGGAGATAGAATTTTGAACAAAATTACTCTCTACAAACCTCAGTTTCTCCATTTATGAAATGGGAATAATATTATTATCTTATAAAGTTACCATGAGGATTAAAGGAGATAATCTTCAAACAGCATTTAATACAGTGTGTGGTACCTAGTTGGTGTCTATTATGAGCTGTTGTCATCGTCATCACCATGTAAAAATAAACACACATACATAACCTACCACCAAGAGCATCAGTTAACTGATCCAGAGTGGGCTCTGGATGGTTCCTGAGCAGTGTGTAGATGGACATCACCATCCCAGGGGTACAGAATCCACACTGGGTACCATGACACTTGGCGATCCTCTCCTAGAAGCACAGAAAGGTTGGAAATGCAGAATCTTGGACCCTGCCCCAGACCTAATGATCTGACAAGATCTGACAAGATCTGACAAGATCCCAGGTGATTCCTCTGCATGTTAAAGTTGGATAAGTGGCCCTGGACAGCCCTTCTCATCCCAGGTGCCTCCCACGCTGGTGGCTGTGTCATTATGATGTTTGACCTCATCAGCTTTGGAGCCTCACTTAAGGCAGTGAATTTCAGCCTTTGGAATCACCTGGAAAGCTTCCAGAATTCGAAGGCCCAAGCAGCACCCCAAATCAACTTGGTTTCAATGTGTGCTTGAGGTTGTGAATTACTGACATAAAGGAAGTCCTTTAAAGAAATGAACCAAATTACACTCAAATTGAGAAATGAAACAATAAAAGGAAGGTAATACTTCCTTTATTCCTTCCATGCCTCCCCGCCCTCCCCCACTCCAGCATTTTCTCTTTGGATTCTAAATTCCAAGGTGCAAATCCATTTTGGAAGCTGATGTGGGAGCTCAGCATCAGTGAGGAGATGAAAGGGTGTTTGTATGCCTGTGTCTGGTCACGTCTCACCGGGTGTACACAGGCAGAATTCTCTACCTCGAGGTAACGAGGTTTCATAGAAAATAAATAGAAACTGAGATTCCTTCGTGTCTAGACAACTTGAAGTTTGACTGTTTTCTATGTTGCTCCTATCTTTTCTCTCTCCTCATAAGTGACCTTCATTAACTTAGATTAAAAATAGGTAGGAATGGCAGTTTTATGGGCAATGTATATACATAATTTAAAGAGTCAGGAGTCTTTTCACTTGACGGAAAGTCCTTAACAAGGTGCCATTTTAGTTGAAAAAGCCTTGAAATTCATTAACAGTTCCTTTCAAGTTGTAAGTTGAATAAATCTTTTTAGTAGCTGTGATATTGATGTACCTTTAAGATGTTATTTCTCACCTTTAAAAAAAAAAAAAAAGAACAAGAAGATTAATCTCTCCATGCACATGGCTCTTGTTTCTCTATGAGTTTGGAAGCTGTAAGATGGACAAGTATTGTCTAATTAGAATATAGAAAACAAACCGAGAGATGTCAGGGTTTTCTTAGAAAAGAAAAAGTCTTCCTGTTTTCTAAAAGCATCTTTCCAATAAGTTGGTCACAGTTACATACTCCAGTATCCCACCCAGGCTTCACTCTTGGCACCGCTGGGCTTCATCTGTTAGCAGGGCCCAGGCAGCAGGGCCCAAACTGCTGGGCTCTCTTAATCTCAGGGACTCATTATGCCACTCGTGGTTTTGGAAGCACAGAAACCTTTAAGGAAGAGGCACATCCTCACCTGGACAGGATGGATTCTGGTCTTGGTGCTTCCTATGCCTTCTACTGTGGTGACGGCAGCACCATACAGAGAACAGATGGGGATCAGGCAGGCATTGGCTGGGTAATGTCTTAAAATACAGAAGAAAAGCACAAATTACAAATACATTGTATCTAGGGGGAAAGGGACCAAGCACTCCTAGGCATTCAGGGTCACAGCTGGAGTGTCACCGGCAAGATTAAACTTAGGCCTTCTAACTCTAATTCCAGTTTTTCATCTTGAATAAGGGCGTGGGTGGTGGGTTGTGACATTCTCTAGTCACATGTAACCACCTGTCCACCTAGGAATTATTCCATCTTCCAGGCAGATGCTAGGCTGAGGAATCAGTTGAGTGATAAAGTGAATGATCAGATAGTACAGATAGTGTGCTTCAGAAGAAACAGGATGTGGAACGCAGAGCTCCGCAATCCCACAAGAAGCACTGCTAGAATTGAAGGGGACTCTTAAAATGTTCTCATTCACCAAATGGCCAATAAATATGTAAAACAAATGTTCAACCTCAAAAATTAAGAAAGACTCAACTTAAGAAATTTATTAAATGACAATTTAAATAAAAATTATAATATCCCTTGGTAGAAAGGCTTGGGAAAATGGGACCCACACAGTGCTTATAAGAATGGCAATTAAATTCCCCCATGTTCTTCTGGGAGACATTTCACTGAAAGACATAAAGACCTTTAAGATGAACACTGTCTTTTACTCTGCAAGACCACCTATGTGGATAAGGAAACAGTCATAGACATAAATATATTATAGCAATGTTCACTGATGTGTTTCTCATAACAATGAAAACTAATCTAAGTGAACACTATTTGTGGATTGGTTTTGGTACATCCAAATGATGGAACATACACCACCATTAACATTACGTTCATTATTTTGAAAAGATATTAATGAGAAATTAATAAAATATACAATTTTTAAAACAGTACTGCAGTATGCATACATATGTATACACATAAGAGGGAGATTAGAAGGATATTATTCATATATAAATAAATGTAAATATTTACTGAGTGCCTGCTATGTTCCAAGTGCTAAGATTCATTGATGAATGAGATAGATAAAATCCTTGCCTTTGTAGAATGTACATTCTAGTTAAAACAGTACACACATGCATAGACAACACACATACATATATACATTGAAATGATGAGAAGTCTATGAATAAATTAATACAGGCCAAGGAAATAGAATGGTGAAGGTGAGATGGGACATAGCTATTAAGCAGGGCATAAGGAAGGAAAATGTAATGTTTTTTGTTAAAACCTGAATGACTCAAAGGAGCCAGACAAGAAAGGCAGAGGTACAACACACACACACACAGACAGAGAGAAGTCCAGGGAAGGTAGAGCATAGTAAATATGAGGGAGGTGGTATTTATTCAAGGTCAGGGAACTAGGCAGGGGCTAGACAGGTCATGGGAAGGCTTCATAGTAAAGGTAAGGAGTTTGAGTACTGATTCGAAGGCAAGTGAGTTTTCAGTTTAGATGTAGAAAGTTGTAATTAACTGTCACTCTCATTCTTAAAACCAAAATAAGCCATATAAACCTCATAATCATAATTTTTTAAAAACTCATTATATACTGAATACGTAAAAAATCTTTATGAGCTAAACTTAATAAACAAATGAGCTATTTAATTGAGGAGGCTGTTCTCTTCTTGAAATGGAAAGAGAAAGAGGAGCCTTCCTCAGATAGGGAAAAGGAGAAACCAGAACAACTTTCAACAAACTTTCAATGTGAGCTGATACAACAGATTAAAATTCAAAGCTGGTTGTATTTTCCCCAATCTGTTCCCCACCAGAAATCACTGATATCTGGGGTATTTCCCAAGAAAAGGGGAGGGAAAGAGAGCAAAAAAAAAAAAAAAAAAAAAAAAAAAAAAAACTGTCTAGGCACTCTGGCCCTTAAAAGAAGAAGTTTCAGAACAAATCGGAGAACTAAAAAAACAAAACCCCAAAAAACCAAAAACAACCTACATAGTGGGGCTTCATCAAGTATAAGGTAGTTGCTACACTAGAGGGTAAAAAGACAAGGCTGCATGGATGTGAGAGAGCTCCCAAAGCTTAGAAGGTGAGATAGAAAGGCAAAAACAACTCCCCAGAAACCTAAACAGCTATAAGCCAGGCTGTAGAGCAGGAAGATACTGCTCAGAGTTCAAAAGGCAGGTGACTTGGCTGTGGAACACAGGCAGATATCTGAAACTTCACCAGGGCTCAGATTCTCAGCCCTCAACTAAGATTTGTGAAATGACATAAATGGTCTAACATGTGCATAATTGGAAGTTCCAGAGGACAGAGGAGAGAGAAAGAGTGTAGCACAAAACAGACTCGCTTGAGAAGTTTCCAACGCTGATGGAAGACATGAACCCACAGATCCAAAAAGCTTGGCAGAGCTGAAGAAGGATAAATACCAAACATAAAGAGATGTTAAACATGGGAAGCCACTGGTGATTTTTAAGAAGAAGAATGATTTGATCTGATTTATAGCTGAAATAGATTTCTCTGGTTGATGTATGGAGAATGCAGTAGATGGGAGCAAGGAGTATGTTAGGAGTCTGTAAGAATAACACAGGAAAGTGACGATAGCATTATCCTCCACTGCAGTTTTAGCCCCATCTTTCCTCTCTAGACAGCATGGGAAGTCAGGCAGACTTTCAGTTTGGACATATGTTATCTTTGTTGATAGTACATTCTACCCTACCCCAACCTATTCACATTTCTGGGACCATGTCTGTCTTATTCATATTGTATCTCCAGCCCTGCAGTTCCTTTCACTCAGCAGGAATGCATATTTACTACACGAAGGAATAAAAAAGTTCAAAACTATAAACCTTCAACCCTATGTGAGCTTTGCTGCAAAGTACCTTATCTTCTTGGTAGTGGGGCTGTATCGTGATATCATCACCGTACAGGCACCACAGCCTCCCCCTCCACAGCCATACTTAGTTCCTGTGAGTTGAACTGGAAAAAGCATGGTTAAAGAGAATGTTTTCTGTACTTCTTTTTTAAGAATAGTCTTCACCTTAGGATACAGCACTATCACAGACTCTTAAAAGTATAGCCGAGTTTAATGCATAAAATGATGTCTGTGTCTCATAGGTGCTATTATAATATGGCAACTATAATCTTGTAAATTCTTGATATCCCTTTGTTTCCTCTCTTTGTAAATAAATGGACCTCAGGTTACCAAAAATAGGGGCAAGCTAAAAGAGGAAGATTCTATGGCTGTAAGGGCTTGAGTATTTGAAGGTATGAATACATTGAACACTTGTTCTCATCTTACCTGTGTTTCTTATTTATTATTATAAATAATTCTTGAAATATTTGTATCATATTTATTATATTTCTCTGCCTTTCAGAGGCAGAAACTGCTAGCTGTTTCCTAATTTCTTTTCTTTCTTTCTTTCATTTTTTTTTTTTTTTTGAGACGGAGTCTTACTATGTTACCCTCAGTAGAGTGCTGTGATGTCACAGCTCACAGTACCTCAAACTCTTGGGCTCAAGCAATTCTCTTGCCTCAGCCTCCCAAGAAGCTAGGACTACAGATGCCACAACACTCAGCTATTTTTTTGTTATTGTTGTTATTGTTGTTTAGCAGGCCCAGGCTGGGTTTGAACCCACCAGCCCCGGTGTATATGGCTGGCGCCACTAAACTATGGGAGCCAAGCTTGTTCCCTAATTTCTGTTCTCTATTATTCCTTAGTAATAGAAACCCCAATTCTTAGATATGCACAGGGTTGCCCAGAATAAAGATATATTTTTTCAGCCTCCTCTGAAACTAGATGGGGTCATTAAAAATGCTGGCTAACGGGATGCAAATATAAGTGTTGTGTATGATTTCTAGGAGGGGACTGTCCCAAAAGCAGAGGGGTACCTCCTTCCTTATCAATTACTTCTTCTTGTTTGCAGGAATTCAGATTTGATGTCTGGACCTCAATGAATGAGAGTATGAGAAAGCTGCATACTGGGGAGGGTGGAGTTTGCTTCCTTAACAATGTTGAGACACTGCTTTACTAGCCCTCATCCACATATCTTTGGGTTTCCTTTATGTGAGTATCACAGCCATGCACACGTCTCACACATCTCCCTTTAACCTGGAGGGTAAATAACCAAGGGACCCATATACTTCACTTTGAAATCGATCATCCTGGTTTTCATTAAGGCTACACCCCAACAACGGCTCAGTGCTATGGAGAGATGAAGTCCCCAATGGCTTTAGAGAACATGCCTTAGACTGACCAGCAGTCAGTCCAGAAATCATCTACTTTCGTTTAGGTGATTTCGGTGCTGTCTTTCTCTAATGGGCATGATATTAGTCCCTGAAACTGGAGGGTAAATATTGTGACTTTAAAATATAAAGGATGTTTGAGTAAGTCCTTTAAAATTCTATTGTTTTAGTTTCCATTGCCAGTTTCTCTTTTTTATACGGACACTAGAAACAACTTGGTTTTTCTGACAGCCACGATTACATACTACCTATGAAACTAAGATGTAGAACTTTTGCAAAGATATATATTAAACCATAATAGCAAGGAATATGTCTCAACATGGCTCTAAAAAGATATTTTGTGTATCATGTAATGAGGACGTGAAAGCTATACACACACACACACACTCAAAGCAAAGAAAAGGATACGCTTCTTCCTCAAGTACGGCAACAGCATTATTTCAGGATCAACATTTCTTTCTGTCACCTGTCCCACAGAGAAAATGAGTTATGCACATAAAGTTGACAGAGATAGTGCAAAATTCACATTGGAAGGAACACACCATTTGAGGGAAATGCACAGTAATTAATCCTTCTGCTCACATTTTCAAGTTGATTTCATGTTTATGGAACATCTGTGATAATCAGATCACCTCTCTTAAGTATAATCTCGAATCTCACCCCTCATTGTGCCACTGTCCTTAGTTGAATTAGCACTGTCCTCTAAGGCAGTGGTTGTGTCTACTAGTGAGAGATCGCTAATGACTCCTGCCCAGCTTTTCCTAAAGAATCTAAAGCAAGGGAGGGAAAAGACATTAGCTGAACAGAGTGGAGTGGGGAGAGAGGGAGGGAGAGAGAACAAGAATACACCCTTTTGGAATAAAATAGACTCTGAGAAATTAATAGAGTTAACTTTTTAAAAAGACTTATGTATCATGTTCAAATAATTACAGAAAGAGACCACAACCAACCATGTCCCCCCAAATCAAAGAAACAAAGGAGAAGGTAAAATGTGTGTGCCAAGGGATGCAAAGCCGTGTGGCCGGGACACACACGGGCAGGTTCGCGTAAGCAGGACCTGTCACAGCACGATCAAAATGTCACGATTGGTTGTGCTTTCCAAGGTGATCATGCCTTTTCTTTTTTATTATTAAAAACTTTGGATTTCTTTTAGATTCATAGAACATATAGAAGGACAATTTGCTTCACAATTCCAGATGCTGAATTCATCTTTCACCATGTTATAATAGTTTTCCCCCTTAGAAGTAAGTGGGGAGAAGCATGAGCTTAGTCTACAGCTGCCTCCTCACCCTCAATTCTAAGTTTCCACATGCAAGGGGAGGCATATTCCAGTTGCCGAGGTCAGATCTGTGCCCTAGAAGACTGTGAGTGTGTGAGTCTGTGTGTGTGTACACATACTATAATGCAAGAAAAAAAGTGAGGTACCTCCCAGGCATCTTCAACTTAATTGGCCCTCAAATGAAACTCTTTATTTTATTCTCCAAAAGTATTCCTTCCTTCTTTTCTCTAACCTATCTGCTAGATCATCTAAGCTTAAAAACCCAAGCTCTTTCAATCCATCACAATCAGCATCACTAAGACCATTCCCCTCCCCCCCAAAATGATTCTCTAAACACCCTCTCTTCTACTCTCACGACCTGGAATGAGCCTATGTCAATGCTGCCCAGATGATTACAACAGCTGCCTCACAGGTCTCCCTGCCGCTGCTCTTGGCACCACCACCACCACCCCCGCCCGATACTGCCCTCTACAACGCTACCACCATAAGCACTCCAAAATCCAAGTCCGATCATCTCATTATCTGCCTAAGTTTAACACACTCTGGCCAGCCAAACTGCCATGCTGAGAATTCCTGAATCACCAGGGTGCTTGTTAAAAGAAAATCTCCATGGAATCAGGATTCCTGGGAGAGGGAACCAGAAAGTGTACGTGTTAAATAAGCACACGGAGTATGTCTTAGATGAATTCAATCTAAGCCTTCCTAGAGTACAAGAAGTTCAAATTCCTGGCCAGGCCTCTTTAATAAGCTGCCCCATCATCTCCTACCACTTGGCCCATGTATCTGGAACTCAGGCCACATGGAAGAATGGGCCAATATCAACCATGCATGGACTTTCACCTTCACCACATCTACATACAGGCTTCTTTCTGTCCTAAAAGTCCCTTTTGACTCTACCTGGAAGAATTTTGTCATTCCATGCCCGGTCAAATGTCCCCTGTGCAAAGTGCTGCCATCTAATACAAACGGTCCAGGTGACCACCCTCCTCTGTGTTTCCATGGCCAGTCCAGGGCCAGTGTCCTTATCCCTTCTTTTATGGCACATTTTACTCTGGTACCATAATTATTTTTGTATGTCTACGCCTACCTCGATTCTGAGAGAAACAACCTCTGTTATTCTTTGTGTCAGACTCTGAGCTTTGTGCCGGGGTATGTCTTAGGGTACATATTATATATACTATATATATACTAATTAAAAGAATGACTTGAACATGGTATGTATGATTTGCTATGAAAACACCAAGAAGAGAAGAATGATTTCTCATAGACATGAGAAATCTAAACAGAAGAAAAAGAAAGAAAAGCAGAGAAGTTATTGGTGACAGAAACTGTTGGCTGTCTATCCCAGCACGCCTTCCTTCTTCCTTGCCGCTGCCTGACACAGGGATGAAATGCCTGGAATTTCAGCAGTCATCTGAGGCCATGAGGCAACACACTGACGCCAGCAGGAGAAAAAGAAGAAATCTGGGTCCCAGATAGTAACAGAGGGCTCTGGGCCAGACTCACAATGTCTAACTGCAGGTATCATGGTGAATCTCAACGGCCCAGTTTTCACAGACAGACAGGACCTGGGTGTCCTGGTTAATAAAGACTAGCATTTTACACTTGGGGAATATTTGTCTATTTTGGGAAGGTATTAATGGAGGAAGCAGGCCTTGCTAGTCTGTTTGTTTCAAGAGATGTCTCAAGAGTTTGGAGTTCTGCCTCAAAGTGCCACTGGCTTGAAATGTGTTTATTTTTCTTGATTTGGTTGATATTATATTTGAAGGAGGGAAGTGGAAATAGGGATCTAGCATTCATCCTGTCCAGGGGGCTCTGGGAGGGCAACAGGGAGGATAGAGATAGGGAGGTACAGAGCAGACGCTCCGGGAAACACCAGCCAGTGAACAGCTTTGCCCAGATTCCTACACTAAGATGCTGTGTTCACGTGGGGACAGAGTTATTCTGTTGACTCTGAGTTGGAGAGATGATGACAGTTCTCAGGTCAAGGTCATTGCATGTACTCCTCTTGGTACAGACTTGGGTGTCGCAAGGGTGGAATCTGTCCCTCTGTATCTCTTCCAGCCCTTTTGGGAGAGTCGCAAACCACAAAGTTAAGAAAGCACTTACCTCTGTGGATGGTTGGCGGTTAGTGTCTTAGGGGGCCCTGCCAAATCCAAGACAGAGGCAGAAAGAAGAGAAAGGAAGAGACACAGAAAGGGGGTGGGGGACGAGAATAGAAAATAAGGACAAGGTACAGGTGCCTGTGAAAGGACAAGGCTGAGAGGGAGGAGGAGAGAAAAGAAAGAGGCATATGTTGTAGGCCACAGTTGGCAGAGAATAACCCACAGCAGCCTCAGAACAGAGAGGAGGCCAGAGAGGAGGCCATGACACTTCTGCCCGAGCTTCTAGTTGCTTTAAAATTCACTTTGCTTGTGGGTTCCTCCTAAGCTGCCTCTACCTGCCCTTCCATGGCCCAAACCCATTTTCTGAATCACTGCAGCCATCTCAGCAGCTCAGGAGACCAAAAACTCCAGGAAAACATCCACCGATGAATAGCTTTGCCCAGATTCCTACACATAGCAAATAATGCTCAGTGACTACTTCTTAGCCTTCTTGATACTTCTTAGCAAAGTTCTGGCTCTACTTATGAAGGAGATTATTTTCTAGTCTAGATATTTACAATCATTTCCACATATTAAGTTTTTACTATGTAAATGTACCTCGCTAACCACTGTCCATGGAATTTAATCTTCAGCCCAATTCCAGAAGATATGTTTCTGTTATTAGCTCCATTTTGCAGAGGAAAACACTGAGGCTAAGAGTTATTAAGCACCTTTCCTGAAGCCCTGGAGCTGTCAAGTGGTAGAAGGGACAACACAGGATTCAAACCTCTGCCTGACTAGTTCCAAAGCCCACACTGTTGATCTGTCTCTATACCTCCCTGCCTCAAGGAATGACATGCTTTAGGTCCTGAGTAGAGGTCAGAATGTGGCATCTATGGAATAATTCATGCACGGGCTTCTCCTCTCTTAAACTCTACGTTAAATGGGTCACCTATTTTTCTGAGTTCACTGAGTACAGTGAAGAAAATTTCAGAAGTCTCTCCCCAATTAAGTCTCTGACCAATGTGCACTGGCCTTTCTTCCCAATGGCCTTCACTCCTGCCTGATGACACCTTTTGGTGACCAGGATTTTACAAAAAGTGCAGATCAGAGGCCAATCATGTCACTGACTATCTCCTAATTGGCCTCCAAGTTTCCTTTTCAAAGGCTCATTTTTAAATCCCAGAAGTCATGTTTGACTTCAAGACTGTTCTTGTGGTTTCTCTCTCAGACATTTCTCGATAGCTCCACTCTCTGAACTAGAAAATATATTCTAATTCTTCCAATGTAGCAATTGGGCTTGCTGACCAGTATTGAAGCACATTCCTACTAGAATTTGGAAGGGAAGATAAGGAATAAGAGAGGATGACATAATTTTTTTTAATGGAGTAATTTAAAAAAGTAAATCAGTATCTCTAGAGTATACTTTACAAATGATAACAGGACATTTAACCCACAAACAAAGTGAACTGACAGATGAAAACCAGCTTATTTAATTTTAAAAATCAATACAGCACAGACTGTTGTTAGCTATTATATTAAAAATCCCAATGCAGGCTCCGTGTCTGTGGCTCTGTGGCTCAAGCGGCTAAGGTGCCAGCCACATACACCTAAAGTGGCGGGTTCGAATCCAGCCCAGGCCCGCCAAACAACAATGATGGCTGCAACCAAAAAATAGCCAGGTGTTGTGGCGGGTGCCTGTGGTCCCAGCTACTTGGGAGGCAGAGGCAGGAGACTCACTTGAGCCCAGGAGTTGGAGGTTTCTGGGAGCTGTGATGCCACAGCACTCTATCCAGGGGAACAGCCTAAGGCTCTGTCTCAAAAAAAAAAAAAAAAAATCCCAATGCTGTTTGTTTGGAAGCAGCAGAGGGGAGGAATATTAGACTCAAAACACCTGTTTCCTCATTTAACCAAAATGCTTACTATCACCTCCAAGGCACTAGTAGCCCCAGGCCCATGTGTCCAGCCCCTCCAGCCTACCACTGAGCACCCAGAAATCCCCCCAGCTCAAGGCCTTTGACCTGACCATTCCCCCTGCCTGGAAGGCCCTCTCCCCATGTGCTCGTCTGGCTTGCTCCATGCTTCACCTCAGCAGTTACTCCAATGTTGCCCTTTCAGAGAAGCTAAAACACCCGTCCCATCTCAAATATCAGCTTCTGCCCATTCTCTGTCCCTTCACTTTGCTTTACTTTTTGTATGCAGGTCACTAGGAAAGGTTTGAGACAGACTGTTATGTCCATTATTTCACTTCCAAGAAACAGTGGAAGTGTCCTTTCCAATTCACCCGTGCAAGTTTCAATTTGCTCTTGGTTTATTGGTGTTGCTGGGAGGGCTTCATTTGTTCCCATCCCTGTGGATTTTACATTTTTTGATTTTTGTGTATCTTAAAACTTTTGTAATGACCCACTTATCAGCACTTACCACTGCCTGACTTTACACATTTCCATTCATATATGTGCTTGCTGTCTCCCCAGCACACATAAACTCCATGTAAGTAGGGATTCTGTCATTTCTGTGCTCTGCTCTTTCTCAGAAGCCTAGAACACTGCCTGCCATGTAGTGGACCTTTAGCAAATAAATGGACTGAATACCCATGATCACTCTTTATGACATAAGTAGTGTTATCTATCCCCCTTTAACAGAGGAACCAAGCCTCTGAGAGGTTAGCTTGTCTCAGCGAAAGTTAGAGCTGGAATTAAATCCTTGTTCATCTAAACAAAAAAGCCAGGGTTTACTACATACTCTGTTGTGCAAAAGAAGAAAAAAAGGACATAATGTTGGCTCGGCACCTGTAGCTCAGCAGCTAGGGTGCCAGCCACATACACTGAGGCTGGTGGGTTCGAATCCAGCCCAGGCCTGCCAAACAACAATGACAACTACAACCAAAAAAAAAAAAAAAGAAAGAAAAAAATAGCTGGGTATTGTGGTGGACGCCTGTAGTCCCAGCTACTTGGGAGGTAGAGGCAAGAGAATCACTTAAGCCCAAGAGTTACAGATTGCTGTGAGCTGTGATGCCACAGGACTCTACCCAGGGTGACATAATGAGACTCTGTCTCAAAAAAAATGACATAATGTCAGTCATTTCACCCTGTTACCATATTTCACCCTTAGAGCAGTCTTTCGAGGGGGTCCTAATGGCCCCCACTGCCATCAGGCAATGGTCAGGAAAAACGGGCTCATCTTACCAGTGTGAAACCCAGGCACCAGGGACAAAGCTTTTGTGGGGCCTGGAACTTGTACAGTTTGAGGGCTCCTTTAAAAATATTAATAAAACCCACAAATGTGAAATTAGATTCAGGGTCTAGGACAGGTCTCACAAGTGAGGGACCTTCCTTAACCCCCCTCAGTTCCCTGGGGAGTGGGCTGGTGCCAGTCAGGCAGCATTGCGCCTGCCCTGAGCCAGGAGCAGGGGTCGCAGGTGGCTGCGAATGCACCAGCGCTTGGAAAGTTCTCACAGCCTTTACTCGGCTGTTAGCTTAAATGGAGCCCTTTAACCTTCCTGCCTCAGTTTCCCCTTTCAAAGTGGAATCAGTATGCTGGGACAACATTAGGAGCGAGGAGAAACGATGTCCACATATTTTAAATGCTGGCTCCAGACACTGGACACTGCCTAGAACTGTCCCCCAGAGATCTGCAGAATGATCCCGGCAGTGGATCTCAGGAGGACCTCAGGCTCTTCAGAGGAACTAGCTACGACTTTGGAAAGTCACAACTTCCTCATCTGAGAAACCACGAAGGTGGTTAGAGTTCATCCCCAACGTTCTGTCCTGACTCCGAATTGCCGCCCGTTCATCCAAACACACCCGGTGAGCTGAGACTCAGCCGCCTGCACAGGTTGGGTCTGTTGGAAGAGGTTAGCGGCTGGGGATTGGAAGGGGAAAACTGGGGTGTTGGCCTTAGTGGGTGAGAATTGCTCTTTTTCTTTCTTGTTTACTGGGTGGGGGAAGAAGACGGTCATCTGCCCTCAGCCAGTCAAGCCTTGGAAGGAGAGGGGCGAGGGCCCAGGGCAGACCCCCAACCACGGCCTTTCCCTGCCCTGGAGGTGGGGGTGAGGCCTCGAAGGCAACCTGGCTTCAGCGGGGGAAGCCGGGGCGCTGGCAGTGCCCTGGGCGGCCGGCCCGGAAAGGCCGAGCGAGTGGCCGGGACAGGAGTCACTCTCGGCGCTCGCCGGCGCGGCAGCCCCGCGGGTGCGCTCACCTTGCGGCCGTTCACGTAGAAGAGCAGCGCGGGCCCCGGCTCCATGCTGGCGGGTCGGGCGGCTGGACCGGGTGCGAGTGGAGAGCGAGCGGGCAGAGCCGACCGGCCGCGGGGCGGCGCCTGCGCAGCCGTAAGTCCAGCCAGCCCGCCCCGACTGGGGAGTTCCGATAAGGCCCCGGCGCTTCCGACTCCTCCCTGGGTGCTGGGGCGTGCGGGCCCGGGGAGGCTCCGGCAGCCGCGGCCCCCGGCGGTTCTGCAGGTCTGCGCCGTGATCTGGGAGCCCCTCTCTTGCTAGACGTGCAGTCTCCGCCGCAGCTGCTGTCAGCCCCCTCATCTGCGGGAGAGGTGACAGCGAATGGTTTCGCAACGTTTTCTTACATTTTTAGAAATAATTTAAGTTTGTTTTTAAAATCAAGAGCTACCTAGGCTCGGCGCCTGTGGCCCTAGCGGCTAAGGTGCCAGCCACATACACCTGAGCTGGCGGGTTCGAATCCAGCCAAACAACGACGGCTGCAACCAAAAAATAGCCGGGCGTGGTTGTGGTCCCAGCTACTTGAAAGGAGGAGGCAGGAGACTCGCTTGAGCCCAGTGTTGGAGGTTGCTGTGAGCTGTGATGGCACAGCACTCTACCTAGGGTGACAGCTTGAGGCTCTGTCTCAAAAAAATTTTTTTAAAAAGCTATCTTGATATAGACTTTTTTTTTTTTTTTTGGCTGGGGCTGGGTTTGAACCCACTACCTCCAGTATGTTGGGCCAGCGCCCTACTCCTTTGAGCCACAGGCACCGTCCAGAGATACCTTGATATAGAAACAAACTTTTTTTTTTAGAGACAGTCTCACTTTGTCGCCCTTGCTAGAGTGCCGTGGCGTCACACAGCTCACAGCAACCTCCAGCTCTCGGGCTTGATTGATTCTCTTGCCTCAGCCTCCGGAGTAGCTGGGACTACAGGTGCCCGCCACAGGGCCCGGCTATTTTTTTGTTGCAGTTTGGCTGGGGCCGGGTTTGAACCTGCCACCCTCAGTATATGGGGCCGGCGCTCTAGTCATTGAGCCACAGGCGGCGCTCTAGAAATAAACTTTTAAAAAACTTTTCATCACTATTGGCAGCTTATCTGGCAAAAACAAATAGAGATGTTATGTATCTTGAAAAACTTAAAAGGAAATATCTTGGAAAATACTGCAAAACATAAAAATAAAAATCAGCTGTAAGCGCCTACAACCTGTTATTTACTACTGTTAACTTTGGGGGTCTATCTCTACCTTTTGGAAATCTGCACTATAACACCTATAAAAAAGTTCCAATGGAATTAAATCAGTTATTTTCCAGACTCCATTTTAACAGACTTACAATATTTTCCCTTGTCATTTCATTACATAAACACAAAGTTTTATTGTGAGATTTTCCAAAATTTGTACATAAAAGTGAACAACACAACTAGCATCCATCTACCCCTTACTATACTTTAAGGATTCAACATTTTGCCATATTCTCTCAATTTTTCTGCATATTTTTAAACTAATCTCAGACACATTACAGCAATCTCCTCATTATCCTGCACCCAGGGACTGGTAGATTCTGAATAAATTTAGTTTCCAGTTGCTTGAGCATTACGGTAGGAAATAGGCCTAATTCTATACCCCATTCTGTACCATACCATAAATTCTGAATTAAAGTGATATTAATACTGACATACACTAATTCAAAGCAAATTAAGACAAACTTGACTTACTGTAACAGTTTTATTGGATTAGAAGTTTATCTTTGTAAATAGAGTGTTCAATTTTGTTAAATGGCAGTCAATACACTTCAGGTAATATACATTAACATTTCAAAACTGTTACAGCTTTACTAGGGCATGGCTTGTAATAACAGCAGTAACAGAAGAAAGAGCAACCAACATGACCATGAATACAGGATAGTTTATCTGAAGGCAACCTAGAGTGAAAATAATTTTTATCAAGCTGGTAACAGAGAAAATAGATACTTGACTTTAGAACAAGTTATGTCATATTTACATGGAAGCCATAGGAGTGATGCATGAAGTCAGTCATGTGCCAGCTGCTTAAACATTGTCAGTTGCTAGAGTTCTGGATAATGTGTTTACTGTATTTTACTCCGAAATACTTCAGTACACATTAAAAACACACATTTTCTTAGCCACAATGCCATTGCTCAGTGTCTAAAATGTCTTTTACACTTGATTTTGTTAAATCAAACAGGGCTGCTCAATGTATCTGTTTGTGTTCTCTTCAGTCTCTCTTACTCAGAAGATTCCTCACCCACGCCGCCCTTTCTAATGCTAGTAACATGTCAAAGAAGAAACCAGGCCTGTTGCCCTATTGAAATGAACCACATTTTGAATGTGGCTGATTACTTCTCCTAGGTGTTGTTCTTCTGTCCAGCTTATTTCCTATACACTAAATATTGGATAAAAACCCTTGATTAAATTTGGGGTCATTTTTTTGAGGGGGAGAGGGGGACAATACTTCACAGGTAGTGCCATGAAGTCTGGTTGTCTCATTCTTAATGATGAGATTGATGAATGGGTTCAGTATCCCTTCATAATTATTTTCTCCAACAATATCTCACCTAATGGTTTCACATCCATTGTTGAGCACTGACTGAGCAGTAATTTTATTAAGGTGCTGCAATTTTTCTTTCTAATTCTAGCATTTCTAATGTACTCATCAACTGGTATCCTTTTGACTAGAACTCCATTCTTCAGTTGAGCTATTGAATGCATAAATTAAATTCATACCAGAAAGGCAAAATAAATTTGTATTACTTTCCCTTAAATTATAAATTTTCAGAGAATTGAGTTACTTCCAGTAATATCTAATGTTTTGGTTTCTCTCCCCCTTTTCTTAATCATTATGAATTTATGTCTTTTCCTATAATGTGTTTTCATCAGTTGTAATCATTAACGTCTTCTTAGGCCAATGGAAGCAACTTTAAATTGGAACCTGTGTCCTTTTGACATGCATGCATTGGTTTTTGAGAATTTTCTTGCTTTCTGGCACAATAAATTGCCCTAGCCTTACCTTGTCTATATCCTGTCCCAGACTGATTCCTTAAAATAGGTAATAAGGGGCGGTGCCTGTGCCTTAAGGTGTAGAGTGAGGGCCCCATATACCAGAGGTGGCAGGTTCAAACCCAGCCCCAGTCAAAAAAAACTGCAAAAAAATAAAAAATAAAAAAAATACGGTAGTATTTAGAAACCACAATTCGTATGCTAGAGGTGCTAAGTGTTAATGACTTGTCATTCTTTTTAAACATTTTCAGTGGGCAGCACTGGGAAATACAAAATTTTAAAAAGGGGGTGAAAAAAGCATAAATTCACACTGATATTTCTAATGTAAATTTAAGGTTGCAGAGGTTTTTAAAGAAACCTTCTTGGATTTACAATTGTATCCCTTTCCTCTATGCCTACAATCTTGGTTCTAAAACTGTAACATAATTGCTTTATCCTGTCCATAGATGTATCTCATGCACAATATTATAGTAGCAATAAGATTAGCAAATGAAAGATTTCTTGGCAATCCTTTTGCTCCTTAAAAATTAAAAGATTGCATTCTATTGAAGATGTAAATTTAAAAATACTCTTCCTAAGGTCAAAGTATCTCTGTTTTCTCTGTCACCAGCTTGATAAAAATTATTTTCATTTTAGGTTTCAAAATAACTATGCTATATTCAAGGTTATGTTGGTTGCTCTTTTTTGGTACTGCTGTTATTACAAACCATGCCATAGGAAAATTTTTGTATTTTTGCAAGAGGAATTTTGGTATACTTTCTAAAAGTAGGAAGGATCAATACATATCATAAATGCATATGTAATTTTATTGACTATTGTCAAAATCTTTTCTATAATGCTTATTTCATTTTGCATTCTTTGAGCAACATATAGATACCAGCTGGGGGAAGCACGTGTACATAAGTGAAGAGGCTGAGATTACTAGACCCGAGAAAGGTGGAGGAGACCTGAAGGAGCCGCTGTTAACATTTCAGGAGCTAGGAAAAGGGCTTCCAGAAATCAGAACTCAGACCTTTAAGAATGGGGAACAGCAAAGATGGTGCTGATACCTCAGAGGCCTGAGAAAGCCTCCTTGAAAAGGCCTTTGGCCTCTGATGAAGGAGCACAGCCCACCCAGTGCTGTCACCTCCAAGAAAACAGAATGAGGTTGGTTCTAGAAGTGCTAAAACCCACTGGTGCCTCAACCTACAGTAAAGTGCTACTACTTTGATGTTCTGACAGGAAGAGCAAGCAAACAGGAAGGAGCAAGTCCCCTTTCCCTCTGAACTGTCCATCCTCTTCTAGTGCCCCCTATTAACAGGAGCTAAAAAGAAGTCAGGTAGCAAAAAGAAATGTGATTACCAGTCCCAGCATCATACAGTAAGGTACCCAGAGGTGGGCTCAGAGTTAACAACTGGCATGCATTAAAAAGGCGGTCTGTTCCATGAGAAGAATGCTTTGGTATTAGCAAATCTATGTAGTGCATCCCATGGACACATTTTTGTGCTTATTACTAACCTACTGTCTCTTCACTTCAAATCCATACTCCTGTATTCCACTTTAAGGCCAGGACTTTGCAAACCCACTTTCTTCTTTGCCAGGCTTCCTTTTAGTCTCTCCCTATAGAGTGTTGGAGGGAAACTGGAAGTACAGAGGAGAAAGAAGTGCTTTGTTCCTGTCAGCATCACCACAGAAATGGTTCACCCTGGCAGCAATAATTGACTTCAGTACCAACAGCTGGCTCCACCTTATCAGACCACTCTCATCACATCCCTTACAGGAAAGCAGCACCAGCAGTTAGCTGCAGTGTCTGGGTCCTGAAATTCTTCCTCCAAGGCTTTATAATTCAGCAAGTTCACACTTGACCCTTTGTTCCCTCAGCCCCAGAGGTGGTGGGTGCTTCCTGCAGTTACTTCCTCTGTGGTACTCCAGGGGTCCCTTCTACCTTTCTAATTCTTGTTTCACTTCTCTACTATATGGTTAACCATTAATCATTGTGACTTCTGTGTCATGATTGGACACTATTATAACCAGTATCCATGCCAAAAGTCATCTGTAAAAATTCAACACCCAGCTTGCAGATTTCTAGGCCCACCCCTTCAGTGGTCAGATACTGTCTAAGAAAACTTTTTCATCCAAGCAGAATAGGGTTTGACTAATCATTTGAAAATAATTTTTAAAAAAAGCACTCAAGCTGACGCATGCCTATAATTTCAGCTTTGGGAGGCTGAGGTAGAAGATGGCTTGAGGATAGAAGTTGGAAACCTAACTGAGAAAATGACATGAAGGCTGTGTTGACCAGTTTGATGGAAGTAGTTCGGATTGCATGTGAAAACCCCACACTGTACCCCAGAAGTGCATTAATGTACATAGTTACCATTCAGTAAAAAAAATAAATAAATAAATAAAAATAATAATAGTAAAAAAAAAAAAAAGAAGTTGGAAACCAGTTTGAAACATAGCGAGACTTCATCTCTTAAAATAAAAATCAAAATTAAAAATATCAGCTAGGCATCGTAGCTGAGAAAGAAGAATCACTTGCACCCAAGAGTTTGAGGTTACAGTGAACTATGATCACACCATTGCACTGCAGGCTGGGTGACAGAGTGAGACCTCGAAAATAAGAAACACACGCACATACAAAAGTACTCAAATAATAATGGATAGATTATACTTTAATGTGATTACAAATTTACATAACTAGGCTTAATGCCACCAACTTCTTTAATGAGTTAAAACTAGAGGTGTTCCCAGAAAAAAATCAGGAATGAGAGCAGGATACTCAATATTTCTACCATTTAACATTTTACTTAACAGCCATGTGGATGAAAGGCAAAAGAATTGAAAAAAAGAGGTAAAAAAGACGGTGGTTTGTGGGAAACATGTCTGGAAAAAAGGACTACGAGCAGACAGTTTAGTAATTAACATACAGAAATCAATGATCTTTATATATGCAAACAGAAATTAGAAGACAGAATCAAAGAGAAGACCTCACTGATGCTAAGAAAAAGGATACAAAGTATCTAGACATAAATTTATTAAGAAATGTACAGAACTTATTTATATGAAGAAAACTTCGAAACTCTCTTAGTCTCCATAATTTAAAGCCTATTGGGCATAGAAAGACACACAGACGAGAAGACAGCAAAAAATAAAAAAATAAAAATTGAAGTGCACACGGAAATATAATCTTAAAAGGTAGTATTTCAAAACAGTAGTGGATGCACCTATAGTCCCAGCTACTTGGGAGGCTGAGGCAAGAGAATCTCTTGAGCCCAAGAGCGTGAGGTTGCTGTGAGCTATGATGCCATAGCACTGTACCGAAAGCAACAAAATGAGACTTTGTCTCACCAAAAAAAAAAAAAAAAAAAAAACAGTAGTGGAAACTAGGGCTTTTTTAGTTGATAGTCATTCGGACAAAAAAGGTAAAAATTGCATTCATGCTTCATACTACATGATAAACAATTCCACATGAATCAGAAATTTAAAAAAAAAAAGAAACCATGGATAAATGTCTTTATAACCTAGGAGTAGAAAAATTTTTTCTTACTGGGGCCAAATCCACCATTAGTAAAGGAAAACTTTGATAAATATGACTATACAAAAAAGATTTGCATGGGAACGGAAAAAAATAGAAAAGTTTTATGTAAAGGAGAACAGATAGAAATAAATAATAGGAACAAAAAAATGTAATAGTAGAGTGAATCTAGGAGGCGCAAACTCTTAAAATAATAGTTCAGGAAAAAGAACAAAGACTGTCAGAGTGCCAAGCTTTCAGCCACCACATAAACTGTTACTTTAATGAAGCTTCTGGCCTCCATCCATCTGCCCTTGTTGGGTGGCAGTTCTGCATAAGCAGGCAGAAATGCCATTAATGTATGAATAAGTTCTGTTGTAGCCTGCAGCCCTGCAGCACTCTCTACAAGTGTGGACCTAGAGAAATCTGCCCTAGATTTACCTGAAGAGCTTGTTAGAAATGCAGATTTCTGGGCCCACCCCTTCAGTGGTCAGATATTGTCTAAGCAAACTTTTTCATCCAAGCAGAATAGTTTGACTAATAATTTGAAAATAAGCTGTGTACTGATCTCAAATATGAATAGGATTTATTACTTATTACTAGAATAGTAAGTGATCTCTTTAGTTATAAAAACCAAATTCAAAAGAGCCTATAAGATTTATCCCCTCCCCCAAGTGATCAGATCACATATAATGACGGTAATACACAGGCTGATACCTAACAAGTATTTCTGAAAGTAGAGAATGAAGGGTAGAGAAAACTGGCCAGGGCAGGATGCAAACTTTTAAAACCTCTTTGATGTTCACATATACTGAGTGGTTTAAAAAAAAAAAACAAAACAAGATAGCCTGGTATACAAGATAACCAATGCAAAAGTATTTATTAATACAATTTATTTGGTTAAAAGGTGAGTAACTATTGTTTGGTAAAGGCCATTTGTAGAAAGCAGCTTAAATAACCAGGAAGATGTTATGTGATAACCAAAATGATTTTTAAAGTTTAATATTACAAAATAGCTATTCTATACACATATATCTAAACAATAAGAATGGACAAATCCACACTCCATGAAAAGGACAAAAAGGAAAAAACCAAACTTTTCATCAAATGTTTCATCTTCTTGATCCTAGTTGTGTTTCTGTTTTGACTCATTATGCTTTGAGAATTCAGAAAAAACAGAATCCATAAATTTACTTCATCTTCTCATCTTGCTGCAAAGTAGAAAAAAAGGAAGATTAATGACCCCAAACTAATATTTGCTGTGAAGCATACAGAAGCAAATTATTGTATCATACCAGTAGGAAAACAATTTCCTTATACCACAAGCTTGGCTATGGCTATGTATTTGAAATAGTCCATGATAGTGGGAATTGTAAGACCGAAGAAAAATTAATCAACAGATTTTACACACCATGTGCTTTACATTTTCCCTTTTTATTATGAAATGTACCATATATCCAACAATAAATGAAAATGTATAAATTAAAAACAGTAAAATATGCTCATGTTCCTACCAGGAAAGTTCAGAAACAAAGTATTACCACATCTCCGAAGTCTCCAGTTTGTCTGTCCTATCTGGTCACACTCCTTTCCTCCCAGAAAGTAACCACTATCCTGAACTGTATTAGTCACTCCTTTGCTTTTCTTTACCATTATTCCCACCTGTGTGCTGCTCACCTAAAAAGCACATTGTTTGGTTTTATATACACTTGACCTTTTTGTCAATGGAATAATAGTGGATATGTTTCTTGTTTTTTCAACTCAACACCTTTACTTATTTCCAAGCCTGTCTTTATTGAAACATTCTATATTCTGTATCTGATTCTCCTTATCAGCTGTTTCTGCTGGTACCTTGTTCCCTTGTATGTGTGTAGTATTTTCTATCTCTAGCCCCATAAGGCTGTGAATCCTTCAGTTAGATTCAACTGGTGAGGCAAATGCTTTCAGGAAAAAACTAGTTTCAGGCTCTAGTTATTCCTCTGGGTTCCTGCTCTCATGCAGTCTCTCATCTGAGCTTTTTTTTACCTTCCTAATAATAGAAGCATTAGTTAGTTAATAGCTATTAGCTAACAGACACATTCAAGTTTTTTTGCTCTTTAGTATTTTATCCAAAAATCTTATCTTTTCATTGAGGGCTGATCCGTGCACTTAGTACATTCACTAAGTGGAGTGGTATTTATTCTTTGCATTACATGTGTGTATCAGTGTGTGTGTGTGTATATGTTTCAGGATGAAATGCATGCACATGGTCCCAGATTAAAAAGGTCTTTCTTTCCCTCTTCTGAGTCAATATGATATTAAAGTCTTAGGTAATTAGATATATTTAACCCTTTCAGAAAGTTACCTATTCTGACCTAATTATAGCAAAATGCTGTAATGAAATACTGTTCTGTTTTAGTTTAGATCTATTGTACATGCAGAATATTTGCTAAACAGCCCAGATGGTAATTTTTTTTTTTTTTTTTGAGACAGAGTCTCGTTATGTCACCCTCGGTAGAGTGCTGTTGCATCACAGCTCACAGCAACCTCAAACTCTTGGGCTTAAGCAATTCTCTTGCCTCAGCCTCCCAAGTAGCTGGGACTACAAGTACCCACCACAACGCCTGGCTATTTTTTTGTTGTTGTTGCAGTTGTCATTGTTATTTAGCTGGCCCAGGCCAGGTTCGAACCTACCAGCCAATGGTGCATGTGGCCGGCACCATAACCACTGTGCTACAAGCACCAAGCCTTAGATAGTAAATTTTTTAAAGTAAAAATCACAGTGAACATTCAGTAAAAAAACTGAGTGATGACATCCAGCTGCCACTTTCCTCTCCCCTCCTTTTTGGTTGGAAATGGTATGCAGGAGGCACATCACAACTTCTGGTAGCACCTGTAAGAGTGGAGCCTGACTGAAGCTGCTTGCTATTGTGCCTTGATCACCACAGGTGATAATGATAGGAAGGAATGGCAGGCGTTATCAGGAACACTGGGCAACTGGTTGGTGCAAGCTTCCCAGAAGGGATAGGATGAGACTGGTCTGATAATATGGAGTCAGCTGTTGGTACTCAAGTCAGTTGTTACTGTGAGGGCTAATCATTTCTGAGACCAGCTTGAGCAACATAGTGAGATCCTTGTCTCTACAAAAAACAGAAAAATTTGCTGGGTCTGATGGCGTGTGCCTATAGTCCCAGCTACTTGGAAGACTGAAGAAGGAGGATTGCTTGAGCCCAGGAGTTTGAGGTTACAGAGAGCTATGCTGCTATCATGATGCCACTGCATTTTAGCCAGGGCAAACAATTAAGATCCTATCTCAAAAAATTAAAAAATAATAATAATAATTTGGGAAAGCTAGGTGAGGAGCAATGTGAAACCTCTGTATTATTTTTACAACTTTGCCATTAAATCTACAATTATTTCAAAATTAAAAGTTTAACTTACAACGTAATGAAAACACAAATAACCCAATTGAGAAAAGGGCAAAGGATGTTAAGAGATATTTTCCCAAGGATGATACAACTGGCCAGTAAACACATGAAAAGATGCTGAACATTAGTCATCAGGGAAATGCAATACCCACTAGGATGGCTAGAATCAAAAAAGACATAAAACCAAGCATTAGTGAGGATAAGGAAAAATAAAAATTCTTTTTTGAGACAGTCTCACTGTCTCTATAAGACAGTCTCCTAATCTCTATAATTAAGCATAGAGTTATCATGTGACCCAATAATTTCACTTCTAGGCATATACCAAGAAAATAAAAACATACATATGCATAGAAATTTGCACATGAATGTCTATAGTAGCATTATTTGTAATAGCCACAGGATGAAAACAAGACAAATGTCCATGGTATATTTATGTCATGAAATAATTATTCCATCATAAAAAGAAACAAAGGACTGGAACATGTTGCAACATGGATGGGTCTTTACAACATGCTAGGTGAAAGCTGGTTAAAAAGACTACATACTATATGATTCCCATATAGTGAAATCTCAACCAGGGAAATCTACAGAAACAAAAGTAGATTAGGGGCTGCCTAGAAGTATAGGGTAAGAGAGCGATAACTAAAGGGAACAGAGTTTCCTTTTGAGCGAAGAAATCCTCTAAAACTGACTAGAGGTGATGGTTGCAGATACCTGTGAATGTGCTAAAACCATTGAATTGGACACTTTTACTGGGTAAAATGTAAGTATGTGAACTATAGCTCAATAATCCCTTCCCTTTTGCTTCACTTTCACCCTCCCTTGTATTACTGCCATCTGCTGGTTATTGTTTTCAAATACCGATCAGAGCTACCTTTTTTGTTAGATGTGATAATTGCTGTCTAGTTTTTTTAAGAACTTTGTTATTTTTTAGAGACATATACAAAAGAATTTTAGGAATCAAATGACTTAGTATTTGTGACTTTAAAAACTACTGTAACAAAAAGGATAGATAAAGCATATGTGGCAAACTTGATAATTGTTGAATCTGAGAAATAGTTAAGTAGGAAGGCCCTATTTTCTTTGTTGGGGTTTGAAATTAATAAAAGTAAATAAAAAGGACTGTTAGTATTTGAGACTAAAGGACATATAAACCATTTTTAATTTTTCCAGGGATATAAGGTAGGAAATAAGGAAATGGGGATAATATATGTGGAAAACAGTGGTTAATCATAGGCAAGAAATTTTAATTATAATTACCAAATTGCAATACAAAAAATTGATAGTAACAGAACTGAGAATCAAATAAAACTAAACCAATTTAAATTGAGATATACATACACACCCAGCCTGTTTAAAGAATACATTTCTTCAAATCTTACCCAACAACCCATACAGTGGTTGTTACACGTTTTATTGATTTTCAGAAGTGTTTAAATACTAATTCGGGCAGCACGTTAAAATCACTTTCCTATCACTGAAATACTTACTCTCGGAGGTTCGGCTCTTTGTAATGGAGAGGAACACATCTTCTCCTTCTGCTTGGCAGCTCTGATGATACATCTTCTGACTTATTTTCAGATTCAGCTGTGTTATTTGAAATCAATGTGGTATTTGTCAAATCCTGTAATGGTCTATCACCTGAAAAAAATATTTTTCACAAATATTTATACAAGTACGTAAGAGATGGAAATAGATATGGGCTATATAGTGCTTTGTGAATCACTGCGGCATATTTTGACAATTAAATTTTGAGAGGACAAAGACTAAAATTTGAAACACACCATCAAAGTAGCCTGCAGCCTTTTTATTATGAAATCAGACACAGACAAAAATTCCTCATAGCCCAACTCTTTCCACATGGCACACAGGTGAGAGCACATTCATTCAATGTATAAACATATGCCAGTGACTGCCAGTGTGAAAGGCACCTGTCACAGAAGTGACAGATGTGTCAGCGGTCCTCTGACATCCCCTGTAAATCCAGGCCTTTGTACTTCTTTTGCTACAATGTAAGTTTTAGTTGCAATAGTCTTATCCATCAAAATCCTAATGTTCTACATATATAGAGAGATAGAAATGTTGGGCTCCTAGTAAAAATTTTCAACTTTTAAAGGAATGTCTAAGGTGACAAATTGTCTAGTGGCAAATGAACATCCACAGGATCCAATATTAAGGGGAAAAAATGGGCTAAGTAATGTATCTGATGATTTTGAATATATACTTGTAACCCACAGATTCAATCTGCATTCTGCAAACACTGCACCTAGCTGCAGTTCTTCCAGGTGGTATTTTTCCCTCCCTCCCAGGGTGGGGAAGCAGCAGCTTTCTGATTGCAAAATTTTTCTTTTTTACACAGCAAAGCAGGCAAGAAAAGCTTCATCTTTCTCTGCTGTACCCCTTTTAATAAAAAGAATTTGTTCTGTAAAATCTGAATTCAGTTAAAAGACTGCACTTAATAGGCCTTAAGGCCACAGGTTCCCCACCCTTGTGTGGGGCCTAAAATGTTACCTATTTAATGATGCCTTACAGATTTCTCCAGTCAAAATTACTCCCCATTACATCCCTTAGCATAGTATTTATGCTTTTATTAAAGAATAATTTACCACATTTCACTGTGTTTGTTACTTTTATAAACATGTATTCTGAAAAAGGGGGCTGGTATTGCTTATTTCGCAGTCCTTTACAACTGCAGTTCCAACCCTTAGAGCCCATACTGGCCAGTTAGGAACTGGGCCACACAGTCGGAGGTGGGCAGTGGGGGAGTGAGCGAAACTTCATCTGTGTTTACAACCACTCACCATCGCTCATATCACCCTGAGACCCACCTCCTGTCACATCAGCAGCAGCACTGGATTCTCATAGGAGCGCGAATCCTACTGTAAACTGCACATGCCAGGGACTAGGTTGCACGCTCCTTTGAGAATCTAACACCTGATGATCTGAGTTGGTGATGCTCACACCGGGGAGAGGCTGCAAATACAGATTACCATGAGCAGAGAGGTTTGACTGTCCAGAGACCATAACAAATCAGTCACTTGCAGACTTACATCCCCCACAATACTCCTGGAGCATAGAAAAATTTTCTTCCATGAAACCAGTTCCTAATGCCAAAAAGGTTGGAGAACACTGCTCTACCACACTGAGGATAAAGCTTTGATCACATTAAATATATGGTGCTGAATGGAATAAGATTCCTACCCTTAAGAAACCTGCAACAGGCTCGGCGCCTATAGCTCAACCGGCTAAGGCGCCAGCCACGTACACCTAAGCTGTCGGGTTCGAATCCCCAGCCCGGACCCGCCAAACAACGATGATGGCTGCAACCAAAAAATAGCCGGGCGTTGTG